AAAAAATTATTAAAAAAACGTTAAATATTTCAGTTATCATTTAAATGAGTCAATAAGTTTATTTTTACCACAGTAGCGATACGTGCATCGAGAACAAACATTTCAGAAATTATAATAATTTGAGATTGTAAAAAATCTGATAAAGCTTGCATAACTACACATTCGCTTTGTAAAAGACAAAAATATTTCTTTCCAGACTCTTTCGTACACATCTCAATATGTCTAATGGTGGAAAAGRGTCTAGCCATGGTGAGTAAGCGATTTTCTTTGAATTCTTATATTTGAATGCTTATCTATTTAAGAATAAATCGGGCAGCGTATTATAAGATAAGCTAGGCTTACACATGATGCTTAGAATTTATACTTGTACACATACAAGTACACTTTTTGTAGACATATGTACAGATAAGGGCCACTATGCTTAGAATATGTTAAGTACTAAGTAAGAATTAATACTTTAAAATATAAGCATTGCATGTCAATGTGATCTTTAATCAAAGATCAGCGCAGATTACAGCCAAACAGGTTGATCGTTGCAAAGAAATACTCTCTTTTTTGGCAAAAATTTGAGCTTATTATTCCAYATAAGTAATATGGGTCATACAGACATCATTCTTGGCGATTTTGAAGGCTGCGAAATATTTACACGTATCTTTTCAATGTTTAGTCTGTCTATAAAAAAAATAGATGAAATACGTAATGGCAACACTACACTATAGCCATTTCGACTGCCACTCTGTTATATACCGAAATTGCTTTGGGTTTTTGTGAGGCCAAAGACTGGCAAATCAGCAGCATTCTGTCAAAACATATTGGGAACGTGAGCTTTGTTTTTTCAAGGAGCTAATAAGCTACCTGGTATTAATTCATATGTCCCTGTCTTTAGTGAACTAATATAAAATATCAAAAGTTTGAAGAATAGGAATATGGAAACTAACCGCACATGCTGGTGAAATATATTATCAGATATTGGGTAGTCGAAAAAGTCTTTTCGTATTTTGTCAATAGATGTTGTTGCAGTAGTATATTATATATCCAGTGCTAGGAATCACAATGTGTCATATCAAATAATGTTGGTAAGGTGAAATTTTAAGCTTAATTTAGCCAAAAGTTGTGAAGTTTACGAAGATCAGTATCAGTTTGTATAGCACCTCGCTCTGGTCGACCTATCGTTGAAAGAGTCGATGAAATGATGGAAAAGATTGAAAGATTGAGCAGGACTATCACATAAGCAGCCATGACAACACTAAGGAACTTAACATTCATCATCAAACGGTTTTGCACCATTTCAAAAAAGGCTCACTACAAAAAGAAGTTCGATGTTTTGGGTACCACAGGAATTGTCTGTGAAAAATGTAATGGAACGAATTAACATCTGAGATTCCTTGCTAAAACGAAATGAAATCGAACTATTTTACTAAATTTAGTTTAGATTTGTATATGCTATAGTGGTCCGATATCGGCGATACCTTCACCGCGGTGTATTTCAACAAAAAAAAAAAAAAGCGAGCTCACATGTTTCTTTAAACATCCTCATATAAAATTTTTTATAACACCAATAATCCCACCAGAAAAATATATTTTAGAACATATAAGAGTACATAATTGCTTGTTGTGTGCTTCATTCCCACCCTACATTACAACAAATACATTAAAAAGTTAAGTTGTCACTCACCTTTGCCACCTTGCATACACGATAATTGGCGGTTGAAAATATTTCTTGACTTGTAAAAAATTTGTATCCAAAATTTATGCATTGCTTGTTAGAAAATGATGATTAACTGAAGATTTCGGCTTTTCCTAGACTTGCATTGAGTTTTGGTATTTGTGGATTTGAAGTWAACTTGCAATTTTTTTGTTTCGGTTCTTTGATTATTTTCCAATTTGTCTTTTGTTTTGTTTTTGATTGAAAATTTTAAAATTTTTAATGTTTATTATGATTTTATGGAAATGTTTATGGGTTTTTGAAAATTGTTATGATGATACGAAAATTTATGATTTTTGAAAATGTTTTTGAAAATTTTTACATTTTTTTTTTTGAATTTTGATGATGTTTCAAAATTGTTATACTTTGAAAATTTTTATGATATTTGAAAATTGTTGTAACACGAAAATTTATAATAATTTTTCGAAATTGTCCAAAATTTTTATTTTTTGAAAATTTGTATGTTTCAAAATTTTGAATTTTTGGAAATTTATTATTATTTTTGAAAATTATAACAATTTTTGGAAAATTTTTATAATCTTTTGAAAAATTGTATGATTGTTGGAAAATGTTTACTTTTTGGATAATTTATAATTTTTTATTTCTGCAATTTTGGTTGAAAGCAAGTGAGTGAACTGAAGTTTATTTCAGTGATTTTTGAAAAATCAAATATTGAAAGCAACAAAATAAAACTTTGAAAACGAATAATCATAATTAATGACTGAATCACGGCARAACCGCATAACCGTATCGTACTCGGGTTCGCACGTGAAGGCTAAGTAACAAAATTGCCTGCCAACACTCATTAWTCACTTMATTTTTTTTAAATTAAATTTTAGATATTAACGCAGTAATTATATTTGAAGTAACGGACAAATTACGACAATAAATGTGATAATATATAGAATTTCACACGCTTACAACAAATAATTAACAGTAAATGCATACGAATGCGTGTGTGTGTATAAAAAGGTTAATAATTTTTAACTGGCTAATTTAGTGCCGTCTACAGCTTAACTTTATTAGGATTTATTTATATATGTATTTGTTATTATTAAAATTGTTAACAGTTTACGCCTTTAAGCTATGCGCACACCAGCCTGATCGCAGTACTTTTGCAAAGCCTGCTTGTGATTTTCGCCGATGGCGGCCACTAGGGTGGGCACTTCGCCCGGGCGTGTTTGCGCCAACTTGGCCAATGACTCGGCCAAGTACTTGCGGCCGTCCGTTATGTCAGCGAGAAAATCTTGTGATTTCGGCTGTGCATAGCTAAGTTGTGAGAAAGCCGCCTGGTAGCCGGGCGCATCATCGACCTCGACAAAATGATCGCCATCCAAAGTAGTCTGATCGGGTGGCAGCTCGAAGAGCTCAACTAATGCCTGCAGCAGTGGAGACCAGCGTTGCACGTAGGGTGGTGCCAACATTGCCGGGCATTCTGTGAGTATTTTGGCAATACCCACGGCAACGATCTTACGATCCATCTCCGATGAGACCTTCGCCATGTCCGGTATGAAGACACGGTCGATTACCATACCRAACATATTCGCTTGTATTTGATCGATGAGTTCCACCAAAGCGACTGCGCTCATTTTKGCCGTGTAGTAGCAGAGGAAAACTATAATGCCGCGCAGATATTTGGTGGTCTTCGAGAGTGATAAACGCTGGAAGAGCAAGGAGAATATCTGACGCATATTGGGCTGCAGCTGTTCGGTGGGATAGTAGGCGAGTAAATTCTGCATGAGATAGAAACCCTCGTGATCGTTCGATTTGGAGGCAATCATTTTTTGGAATATACCCAAAACGGCGTTCTATAAACAAACAAAAAAAAATAAAACGTGTTAAATGGTTTCGGTTTCAAGATATTAATTTTGCTATGAAATATTACCAATTTCCCCAAGGCTACAATTTGTGCGGAGCCTTGCTTAATAAATGCMGTTATTAGACGTATAAGTGGCGTAACGTTGCCTGGGCGATCCCACAGTGCAGGCACCAACAAACAGGGGAAAAGCGCCCAATASGGTTCGGGTATGGAGCCACTACCCTCGCGTATTTCCAATAACAAAGAAAGCATTTGGAAAACATAAGGCATAAATTCCAAAATGTCCTGCTGTAATATGCCCTGAAAGACGGGAAATAGTGCCTCTTCAAAGGAGCTAACGGCTGCCGGCTCCGTTTTGCAAACAATTCTGGAAAAAATAAAAGAAAATATATTTATARTACAAAAATTAAATAAAAAAGAATACAATCTCACTGACTTCACGGCCAAAGAGAGCGTCTCGAAGAGATAATGATTGAAATGTGGGCGCGATGGATTCTTGGCAACCAAAGTGAGAATTTCCGTTAACCGCGGCAATGCGACGGCCATATATGGCATAGTGGCCTCCTGCAGTGTGGAAAAACTGCGCATAATTGCTGCAAAACCGGTCAACAAATCACTTAGATGTGACACAAAATATATAAACGCATACAAACCTTTCATCACATATTCATTTTCATTGGAACCGGGTAGGGACAATGTACCGAAGAGTCCGGTGAGCAAATCATTTGTAAATGGCGCTAAATGTTGTGCCGTTATCAACGGTTGCTGATTGCTGTCGCGCATTACCAGTACTTTTTCTATGGCGCAGGCCGCATAACTGTGCACTACAACGCTCTCTGCCGGCAGATGACGTATCAAGTGTGGCACGCAAGCCAGTAGAGTTTGTGGGCCCAAAATACTGCGGAATACCATGATGAATTTAATGGATGCAGATTTTAAAACTGGCAACTCATTAACTGTAAAAAAATTAGAATGTGTATTAGGCTAATTTTCATTTTTAAAACTAATTTTTTACTTACTATTAGGACGCTCCAGCTCGGGMACAATATGTTGGGCGCAAAACTGTGGTAGTGGCACCAATTCGGAAATATGTGTAATGCCATGTTTTTGTGTGCCGCCACGTGATGCCAACGAAGTGACTAAGTAAATGGCTGTGTCCTTGGCGCGCCAATTCGTTGAAGGATTCTCTTTATATTTAGCCAAGAGTATTTCTAAATATTGGCCGAAGATGGCGAATATTTTCGCCTCAAAATTCTGACTCAAAGTCTTCACGAGGTCACAGGCTGCACGACGGCGTGTATCGATATCCGAACCTTCAATATCACGGCGTATATACTCTTCAGGACTGTCCTCAAACAACTCTTCGTCCGATTGACGGAAATCCAAATTTGGTATGACCACTTTCTCACAAATATTGGCGAGGATTTCTGGGTTCTCAAATATTTTGCGATAATGATTGCGCTCAGCTACCACCGATAAAAATTGCAATGCATTAGAAACGAGCTAAAATGAAATTGGAATATTTTAAAGTGTACAGTTTGAAGTATGTATTATTTTAAATATCTACCGCATCATATTTGGTTTGATTGCCGGTCTTTACAAGCAATTCCCAAACGGCTGTCACGAATGTCTCCATGTACGATCCGAACTCTTCATCGTATTTCTGTGCATATAAACCAATATTCTCACAGATTTGTGAACGCAAATGTTCTAAAACACCTGCGTCCTCATCATCACCCGTATGCAAACAAGGTACATCAACTGTGAGCAACTCATGGAATGATTTCATCCACGTTTGCATATTATCCTCAAAGAACTCTGGTAAGTCTTGCGAGTTCAGTGAGAAAAATACTTTACAAACCAACACTAAAGAACCATAAATAACTTTCAGCGCAGCAGTATTATTCTCGTGCACCTTGGCCAATTGCATTGTGGCAAGCAATAAATCAGTCAAAGGTTTGGCCATACGGTCCAAAACCAATTTGATTTCTTCCCATAAACTTTGTGATTTGAACTCATAACGATAGCGTTTAAAGAGTGAATGTGCTGTTTGCAAAACGCCGTTAATCACATTAAAATCGCCAGTAGCAAATTTTTCAACCATTTCGTCGATAAGCTGYGGCCATTTCTTTGGAAAATCATGTTTGCCAATTATGCTCACGGCATCGCTAAGTTGTTTCTGCAATGCCGTAGGTGAGCGTAACATAAGCGTAACAATCAGTGTTTTAATCGTATTACGATCGTCTTGATGTATTTTGTCGGGACCATCTGTATCCTATAATAAAGTACGAACAAAAATATTTGCAATTTGGAATGCGTRACGTATTTTWTGTTGCAGAGCTTACTTCATGCGCTGCCCAATTACGTTTCACGTAGTTCTTGAAYGCAATGGCGCCGGCAATACGTATTGTCATATCCACCTCTTGCTTGTCGATGAGATTCAGCAATAGTACGGCATAATTACGCTGCACTTCAATTGATTCCAATAACTTTTCCGCTGTAACCGAAAAAACACAATAAATAGTTTGATTTCAAATTTATTTGATTAAGAATTTGCGCACCTGGTCGCCGCACATTGGGATCAGGGCTGAGCGTCTGCTGCAAATAGCCGCCTAACTGTTGCAAATTCGTCTCATTAATTTCCATATCTTTTCTTTATTATTTACTTATTTCTAGAATACACTGCACAAAACAATAAGTATACTTATTAAACTTTATATTTTATATAAATTCCTTTAGATGATTTCACTTAGTTACAGAAAATGAGAAAATATACGAGTGACGAAATTTGCCAATCGCACAATCAGAAACGAGTCGCAAACGAATGACCAGAAGTGTGAAACGCGCTATAAAATGTGTAGCGAAAACCGTTGCTCTGCGATTTTACTTTACACGCATATTCGCCTTTGTTCGCGACCGCATATGAACTTGKCTGCGATTGAGATGCCAGCGATAASTGGCAGCTGTCAATATTAGAGTGTGCACTCTGTTCGGGAAAAAGTTTTAACTTCTCTATTAATTTAACTTTTTTAATATCAATATATAGGTATATTTCGTATTTTTRTAATATATATGTGGTATCTCTACACAGTAAACGCAACTACAGTAGTTGCGCAAGAACATATATCGTATGTATGATGTGGAATTATACTACGTTCAAACAATTATAGAATACGKTCCAATTATAAACTCATCTCTAGAAAACAGTGTACAGGAAATGGATGTCGGATTATCTGGACATATTTTAAATAATTAAAAATCAATTCCACTAGATTTACAATAGTAGTAATAATAAAAAGATATAACTATTAAATAATAAACAAAACCAATTCTACAATTTTTTGCAGGAAATCCTATCAGAAACCTTTGGAATGTTCGTGCAAGTAACCAATATAATATTGGTAATTTTCTTTCCGGTGATCATAATTCACCTGAAGGGTGAAGCATTCAGTTTAAGTAATAAACAAATTGTAAAACTTTTTAAAATTATTCACTAAAAATATATCTTATTCCTAGTGGGCGCTTCTACTGTATGCTTTATTTATTCCTTACTATTTCTGAAGCTATGGAGTTACGTGCAGACGAATATGTGGTGTCGGCAGACCTACTACCTCAAGCAGTACAATCCCCGTGAGAGGCGACCAAGTATAACAGTGGCGGAATTGCGTAAGTCACTGCCATTTATATGCGCGAACCGCTTTGAAGGCCACTAAACTCATTTTTCCTTTTTAATGTTGCAGAAAATGGTTACTTGGGTGATGAAATTGATGAGGATATACCCAAACTGGTGCAGTATCCTGACAATCTCTGCTATAAAGACCTATTCTACTTTCTACTTGCACCTACATTATGTTATGAGCTAAACTTCCCCAGAACTACTCGTGTACGCAAGCGTTTCCTGTTGAAGCGTCTATTGGAAGTGCTATTCTGTTTCAATGTTATTATGGCTCTATTTCAACAGTGGATTATACCGTCGGTACGCAATTCACTTATACCCTTCTCCAACATGGAAATTGGGTTGGCCACAGAAAGGCTGCTTAAGTTGGCGGTAAGTTCGAAATTTTTAAATAATTACACGGTTTATTTATAACATTTTGTTGTTTTACAGCTACCTAATCACCTGGTTTGGTTGTGTTTCTTTTACTTGCTCTTCCATTCATTTTTGAATGCCGTTGGTGAATTATTACATTTCGCTGATCGCAACTTCTATTGCGATTGGTGGAATGCGAACAATATTGATACWTTCTGGCGCACATGGAACATGCCAGTACACAGGTAACTCCAAGCACATATTCATGTTTACACGTATAATTTCAAAGTTATTGCATGTATCGTATAGATGGTGTGTGAGACACTTGTATGTACCAGTTGTGAAGATGGGATACTCATCCGCTCAAGCGTCTACTATCGTTTTCYTAATAAGCGCCTTCTTCCATGAATACTTGGTATGAAAATATTCTAGGGAATTTCTGTTTTTTTTATTTCATGTACATACGTATGTATATATTTATTTGTGTACTTCTCCTGCCTCAGGTATCCATACCATTGCAAACTCACAAAATATGGGCCTTCCTCGGTATGATGGGTCAGATACCCTTATCGGCGATTTCAAAATCTATTGAACGTAAAATGGGTCCACGCATGGGCAACATCATTGTTTGGGCATCGATAATATTGGGACAACCGTTATGTATAATGATGTACTACCACGACTACGTTGTGACGCATTATCACGATGCGTTGAATAGCACCGTTTACACTGAAGGCTAGATATTATAATTATTTTATACCACATTGGAAAGCGAATAGAAACGAGTACTTAGAATGTAGAGCAAATAAACTTTGTGAGAGCGGTAGCAAATGTGAATGACAGACTTTGCTTTAATAAGCAAAAGGCTAAAATATTTTTCGGCAAATTGTTATTATTATYTGCTGTTTTTATAAAAAAAAAATAATGCATGTTAATTTAAGCTGTTATATTTTGCCACTCAACAAAGAATGTAAGAAATTTGATAATGGCAACGACTTTGAAGCACATTTTAGCGTTACTTGATAGACTTTTAGACATAAAATGAATTGTTTTGCATTTAAAGAAATTTTTGATTGTTAAGTTAAACTGCATGCTTTAAACTAAAGTACATACATATGTAATAGTGTTGAATTAAGTTTTGTAAATAAAAGAAAAAACACACATTAAAAATAAAATATAAAATTGAAGAGTGATAAATATGCATATAGAGTACTTACACGTACAAATATATGTATAATTAAARCATTTTGTTTCATTTTATCGTTTTATAGAAATTTGATCGCTTTTCGTAGTGGCGGTTTTAGAACACAATTACAAATGTGTCGGAGTTCACATACAAATTTTGTAATAGATATCTTTCAAAACCACTTTCAATGAATTCTCTAACACTTTGTAAAATTGTGATATATTTACTGAATAACGTCTAGAATTATGATTGTATTATATGTACAGCTTACATTTTAACAAATTTAATTAAATTGTGAAAACAGGAAACAGCGTATATTTTTAATGACTGAAAAGATGTTTGACAGTTGTTAGCGATGACAAAAACTATTTTCGGTTCTAGTGATGACATTTCCTAACGATTACTAGTTCATAACAAATTTGAAGTGAATCAGCCAAACCTCTGTCCGAACAGATACTATCGAGTAGACTAATTCCCGTTCCCACGGCAGTCGGGTCTACGTAACCGGAACGGACCCGAATATTTATTCGGTCAAGGACTGTCAATTCGGCAGAACTCTGCCGCTACAACAACAACAACAACAACAGTAGACTAATTCCATGCTAAGATATATGTACATGGACAAGTATGAAAGAAACAACTTCTTAATAAATAAGAGATGCTTACTCTCTTAAAGAATAACAGAAATGCTCATATGTTTTAACAATTAAGATTCCGAAATCAAAACCCTCATATTGTCATAGATTAGTTTATTACTGAGCAAATTATCAAGAATTTAGGGGAAGTTAGCAACTCTGTATAAGTAAACGTCGTTCACTACGTTTCTGTTTCGTTTTGTGATTCGTCGTTTGGTCTGTCTGTGCGATTTTTCGGTATCCGTTATTGTGCCCTTAATTTCTTCGCTATTTGATGATAGTAATTGCTTTTGTTGTGCAATTTAGTAATAATTTCATACATTAGTGAAGTTACAAACATAATAAACGTTTAGTGATTATAAGAAGAARATAAACTTGCGCTAAATTCGTGCTTAAATTTTAAGAAAGGTACGTCGACGCCGACGTCAACGTTTGTATTATTCTGCTTAATTTTTTTTATTTTCCTTTTGTATCGCTTTTTCGTTGTGCAGCGCTTACGAGGGGGATACATTTTTATCGCTGACTGATATTTAGTTACTCCCCATGTGATTGGGGAACGTATTACTAAATATATTTCTATTGTTTAGTTTTAAATTTCGTTTATGTAAGAACAATGCTCTTAAWTTCTAGGAGTTTGTGGCGTAGTCAGCAATTCAGTTACTTGAACAGACTTAAAACAGTCCAGACAATAGCAGCAAGGCAGACTGCGCTCATAAAAACCTGTGAAGCGGCAGCAGCAGCAGTACCGGTAAATCACGTAAGTACTTGCTTTGATTTAAGGGTGGTAGTATTCGCATTTTAACATTGAAAACTGGACATCCTATTTAACTGTAGTCAATGAGCGGTCGAAATCGTGTTGGTACTGGAAGTGGCGGTGGCCGATATGGCGGTGGAGGCTATGGTGGCGGTTATGGAGGGGGYGGCGGTGGTTATGGAAACAGTGGCGGCGGTTATGGAGGAGGTGGTTATGGTGGAAACGGTGGTTTCAATAACGGTTATAACAATTATAGCGGCTCCAACGATATCAATCCCTTTAATAGTAAGTATGATTATGATGTAATTATTTCAAATATACTGAATGAAATTATATTTTTCCATAGGGCAAGTACCTAACGATCTCATGCAATTGATGAGCGCAATGGCGAACAATTTCAATATGAATCCGCCACCTCCACCACCAGCGCGCATGTCTTGTGGAGAGCTCCGTGCCAACCATATGGGCATGTTGGTTGAGTTAACGGGAAGGCTTATTAAAAAGAGAGTTTCGCGATTTGTAGAATTACGCGATCGACACGGTGGCGCATCGCAGTTAGTTATTTTGGAAGATAAGGTACACTCGCGTAAAAAAACACATTGAAGTACCATTTTGTATGCAAATGTCATTTCTATTCTCTATAGTATCCACGTATAGCACGTCGCATGCAGAATATGCCAGAAAATACCACGTTAACCATAACTGGCGTAGTACACCGGCGACCACAAAATTCTTGCAATCAAACTATGCCGACCGGAGAAATTGAAGTGGAAGTTCAAGAAATTGTAAATATTGAATTTCCTACTGGTGTTAAAAGCATGGGCAATAAGCGCACTTACAGCACAATGGCAAAACAGAATAACTGTGGCATCACCAGTACAGAATACAAGATAGCTAGTGAGTGAAAAATATTAATTTATACGCGTGTGTGTGCTAAATAGATTTTTTAAACTGCAGAGAGCGAAAATATACTGAAGTATTTTGAAAATCGTGATTTTACATGCAATGATTTGCGACGTGAAGATATAGGCAAGAATGCTACGTTAGTCGGGTGGATACCACAATCCAAAACAGCAAAATTTTTACAGTTGAAAGATGGCTACGGACAAACGCAAATCATAGTTGAGGACCAAACGGTAGACCATTATAAAAAATATATATTTTTAAACAATAATTTATATTTTTTTGTTAACAGCTGCAAGAAACATGCCTCAGTGCACCTGATGGCACCGTTGTGTTAGTTACAGGCAAAGTTTTGGGGCGGCCGCGTGCCAATATAAATTTAGTAAGTTCAATATTTTCGAATACTTTTCGAAAATTTATATCATTATTTTTTTCGAATTAGAAATACGACACAGGCGAAGTAGAAATATTGGTGGATAATGTAAGAATCCTGAATCCCGATGACCCCTATGAAGGCCCCATAAAAAACAAGGAGAAGGTGCAAAAGATGTCAATCGATGATTTAGAAGCTGAAGATGCATCTAATAATGGCAATACAGCTAATAACGGCGCCGGCAGTCAAGGAGGTGTTGGTGAAAAGACGAAAGTAGCCGATCTGAATAAATTTGCSGGACGTACGCATACATGCGGTGAATTGACAATAGATAATGTCAACGAGAAAGTGACAATTTGTGGCTGGCTAGAGTTTCAACGTATGGGMAAATTCTTTATATTGCGTGATGGTTACGGAGAAACGCAAGTGCTGATGACAAGCAAAGCTAAAGGTTTAGAGAATTATCCAAACGGCTTCTCGCTGGAATCCATAATACGTGTCGAAGGCACGGTTATACCACGACCAGCCGCCACTATAAATGCAAATATGGCCACCGGGCACATTGAGGTCGAGGCTGAAAATGTGGAAGTACTCAATGCGGCTAAGAAGAATTTGCCATTTGAAGTGCGACGCTATAATCGCGCTGGTGAGCGTTTACGCTTGACACATCGCTACATTGATTTGAGGTGCGTTACAGTTGTTATTTAAAATTCATATATATATATTTCTTTTTTTCTCGTAGATTCACCGATATGCAGCAAAATCTTCGCATGCGTTCCGCCGTCATAATGCGCATGCGTGAGTATCTGATTAACTTTTTGGGTTTCGTCGAAGTAGAGACACCCACACTCTTCCGTCGTACTCCAGGCGGCGCACAAGAGTTCGTTGTGCCCACCCGCAAACCGGGACACTTCTATTCACTCGTGCAGAGTCCACAACAGTTCAAGCAAATGCTGATGGCTGGCGCAATTGATCGTTACTTCCAAGTGGCACGTTGCTATCGTGACGAGGCCACGCGTCCGGATCGCCAGCCGGAGTTCACACAGCTCGATATTGAGTTGTCATTCACATCACGTGACGACGTCATGAAATTGATTGAGGAATTGTTACGTTATTCGTGGCCGAAACAATTCCACAGCATTCAGACGCCCTTCCGACGCATCACATATGAGGAAGCCATGGAGAAGTATGGCACCGACAAGCCAGATATACGTTTCGGCTTCACAGTGAGTGTCATAATGTGCATTTGCTYCTAAAAGCCGATAAAATTTGCATTAAAAAACATTTTATCTTTACTCAAAATTSTAGTTGCAAAACGTTACAGATATAATTGAGAAAAATGAGAAGTTCGCTGAGAAATTTACGAATTTGGGTGCTTATGCCATCGTTATACGCGGCTCTGAGGCCATTTGGAACTCCACGGCACGCAAACATTACGAGAGCATCAGCAGAGAATTTAACGGCACATTATTTGTACGCAAATTTTTGGTAAGTAGGTCGCTGACGTTCTCCACCCCGTTCTCCTAAATCAGCTTCTCGCTTTCAACCAACAGCAATATAAGGACGTGCTCGATCGTTTAAACAAATTATTGGGCGATGAAGTAGCACACGAATTGATTGAGAAATTCGTTTTAGAAGAAAATGACCTGTTGTTCCTCGGTATCGGTGAAAAGCGTGAAACTGTGAGTTTTGCATTGAAATTGAGTATAAATTGCTTACTCATTTTGACTCTGTATTCGCCTCTCTATTTACAGCAAGCACTATTGGGCCGCATACGCCTTGACTATCACAATTTCAATGCCGAAAATGTGAAGCGTGAGCGTAAAGAGAACAAATTCCTTTGGGTAATCGATTTTCCAATGTTTGARCGTAATCCAGAAACGAATCAATTGGAGAGTGTACATCACCCGTTCACTGCACCACACCCGGACGATATGGAAGTTTTCATGAATGCCAAAGATGACCAATTGGAGAAGGTGCGTTCGCAAGCGTACGATTTAGTACTAAATGGACAGGAAATCGGTGGCGGTTCAATACGTATACACGATCGTGATATGCAACATTTCGTACTTGAACAAATCCTTAARATTCCACATGAGCATTTGAATCATCTATTGAACGCATTGGAGTCTGGTTGTCCACCACATGGTGGCATCGCACTGGGGCTTGATCGTCTAATTGCCATTATATGCCGTGCGCGTTCAATGCGTGATGTTATTGCATTCCCGAAATCGTTGAACGGTCGTGATCCGCTCTCGAATGCGCCCGTGCCCATTTCAGATGAAGAGAAGGCGCTCTATCATTTAGCCGTATTAGAGAGTACAAACAAATCGACCGAGCATGCAATCGAGGATGATGATCCGGACGCTGCACGCAGTACACCGTCACCGGAACCCTCCAGAGAATCAATGCTAGTCGATAATGAAGATCTGAAGCCGGAGCCGGCTGAAGACGAAGTAACTGCTGTTGATGCGATGAATGACGCAGAGAGCGCGGCGACACAAAAGACGATTAAAAAAGAGCCTTCCGAATCTCCTGCTCCTGCTGTTCCCACACCCACAGCAACTCCCAAAGCCGCCGCAAAGTCGAAGCGAGGCGTTGCCGCCGCAATAAGAAARTAAACTGCTTATTTTTAAATAACACAAAGATGCACATGCATATGTGTAAGCTTCTCTAGCGTGCATCATGCCGTTATGCATAGTTTTATCTACACATTATTTATATATATACTTGTATACTAAAAGCAAAAATAACCTCCTGCTATATTACCCTTTAAAAAGAAGCAAAGTCATTGGAAGCTTAACATTTCACAAATATATCTGTATGTATACGTATTAAGAATTTTACCCATATTGCAGGAGCGTATTTAACTATTTGTTTACATTTATTGACATTTCACATAAAATTGTAATTTCAGATTTAATTGATTTACTGAACAAAAATTCGTTTGAAATTAAGAAAGGGACGCCAATAAAAAAATTACTCCAAAAACGAAAGAGCCTGAGTTTTTAATATTTTTTTCCAATTGTGTTTAAAATATTTAATGTTTTTTTAATTTTTAAAAATGTTTTTAATTTTTTGTATTTTTTTTTAATTTTTTTGTATTTTTTAAATTATTTTGTATTTTTTTAAATTTTTTTGTATTTTTTTAAATTATTTTGTATTTTTTTTTAATTTTTTTAATTTTTTTGTAATTTTTTTTAAATTTTTTTTAAATTTTGTAATTTCTTTTTAATTTTAGGACAGTTTTAAAAGTTGGAATTATAAGTGGAAAATGGTCAGAGTATTGTAATTTGGAAAAAAGCTTTATTGTTGTATTTGTAGCAGCAGAAAGTATTCTCCAAATAGTTGGAAGCACCCTATTCTGTGTTCGTTCAAGACGATGGGACTGAAAGAAACAACGAAATCAAGTAATTACCAGATTACATTGTCGAGTATTTCAGTTCTGTTCTCTATCAGCATCTAATTTCGTCACTGTCCTAACTTGATCGCAACTAAAAATCTTCAATCTGTGGTACAAACTTTACGAATACACACAGTATCTCAGATTTTGTCACCTTGTTAAACTAGAACTACCTCAACGAAACACAAAGCCTTCGAAAAATCTTGCTTAAACCCATCTCAAAATTAGAATACTTTCGGCTTCATAAAACCACAACGACACGATTTTATAGCAGTAAACCATAAAAACAATACGCTTTTTAAATTTACGTCAGCTCAAAATATATTTTCCGGAAATAAAACTATTGCCGAACCCCATTGACATCTGGCTTACTACCGTCACACCTTAAACTTTCAATAAATCCACTTCAGTTTTCAAATAATTTATATTTTTAAACATTTAATCACTTTTATAACTTATCATTTATTTCATTTCCACGTGGCTGTCTGCTAAGCTTCTTGCTAGTAAACTCTGCACCTTCAATATGAGGCACTTTAAATATACTATTTTCTATATGGCCATTGGTCAGATTTCGTCGATACTCCAGCCATTCAATTTGCGTTTCATGCACTTTCTGCACATCCTCCAAACTTTGCTCTTCYACCGAGCCGGCTAGCTCGTTTCCGGTCTTCGAAGTATCGGTTATGTCACCAGTGCCAGCGCCACTAAAGTAAGTCCAATTATCGCCGTTGGGATCTTGTGAAAACGGCGTCGGTTCGGGTTCAATGCCATTAAAATGTGAGCCCAATTTATTCCATTGATCCACTTGCTGCAACAAGGGATCACGGAATCCCGACGGTCGTGGTAACGTTATCGTGATTTCCCCATTGTTCTTGGTAGGCTTTTGTTTACCCAATGTCGGTAAGTCCGTCCATTTGCCTAAAGCGTACGGCGCTGTATCATTAGTCTCGACTAGAAACATACCCTTTGTGCTGAGCTTTATATTTTCGCCTGCTTCGAGTAGATAATTTGTGGGCGGACACATGTTGAGCAAATATGAGATATACGAGCTGCAAGCCCAACCCCAGAAACCTTTACGTGAACGTATSGATTCCGAAAAATATTCGACAGCGCGCTGATGGCTGCAGGCAAATGGATCTGCGTGAAAAAATATATAGGTGCGTAATTTGAATGGTCTGAATATAGTTGCATGGCATACTCACTTGTATTTTCCTTATTGCAACCGGGCTGTAGTATGCCACCATTCATATAGAAGTCCGCATGTCCACAACGCTCTATTTTRCCCTGTACAAAGGCATTCGTATGTATTATGTCGACGAAAGCAGCGTCAGTGGGGTCCAATTTATCATCGATGCCGGAGGTGATGAAAAACGGCATTGCCGGATCGAGACCTGAAAATGCGTTTACAGGCATTATTCAAAAGTATTTTGTAGTTTCATCGTTTTCGAGAAAAGAACATTTTARGAAGTTGAAGATGGGTCAGCATCTGCCAGTTTTGTACCAACCTGTTATCCTCGGCAACTGAAATGAGCCCAAATTTCGCGCAACATAATTCGTCAACTGTGCGCCCAACGAGAAGCCGATGRCATGCATATCGGTAGTGCCTGTCTCCAAAATACGTTCCACAAGTTGGGCTACACAAGCACCCACATGCTTGATATTATGTGCGACGTTGACATAACATGGACCGGGMGCCAGCACAGCCCAATCCACAAAGATGATGTTGTACTCGCCGCGCATTAAATATTCTGAAAAAAAAAAAAAAAACACAGAACAGAGGCAAAGCCGAGTAAGCATTCCAATGAACTCAGATATTGAGACTCTGCCAGTAAGGCGCACTCACCATATTTCATGCGCTGCAAGGTGTTCATATACATATCCGCATTATAGCCGTGTATGATGATCTTTGTCTGATAGCGCGGATTAAAGTTCGAGTTGGTCAAATTGGACTTATCGAATGTTTCGTCGATGTTCAAGTACTGAGGCTGCTGTGGATTGCGCCGAGTGTACAAGTAGAAGCGYACATCTTTRTCGGGGCATTTGCGTCCGATCACCCAACGACAGGGTCCAATCACTATATCGCGCATTGTTGGTGCGGGTGTGGTGGTCGGCGCTGCGGTTGTCGTCGTTGGTACCGCCGTAAGTTGATTGAGAAATGACTTGGCATGACAGTTGACTAGTGAAAATATAACTACGAAACAAAGCATTAATTTTGGTTTTGAGGAAGTCCAATATTAGACAGTCTTGGTTTCTTACCTATAATCGAAATGGTCCTGAGGAAGCTTGGAACGACKCTTGTATATTGTTGCGTCGTTGTACACATTTTATGCTATTCTACTTAATTTCTTTTTATTATCACAATTGATTCACTTAAAGCTACATATGTAACTATGCTTTATTTTCAGAATACTATAAGACGGTATCCATCTTTTGACACACCAGGCCTTCCTCGATATAATTTACTAAAAGAAGTCATGCGATGGTTACTCAATTTGAGGTTTATTGGCATTCGCAATCAGACGAAGGCCGCGATAGTGATAGTGAGACCTCGATTTCTTAGATTGATTTGTGAAAAAGTGTCTGATGGAAGATTTAGTATCGCGGTTTCTTAGTGTGGAAAAAGTGTCTTAAGGCATGATTATGTCKTGGTTTGAAGGAAGATAGAGCAGTTTTCTTTTAGAAAGGTTTGGTTTTCATTCCAGCCCTTTTTAAGACATAATCTAAAGTTTAGAAAAATTAATTTTTCGAATATGTAAGGAGTTATGTATCCAAATGCCAGCAATTAAGCTCGTCTTAATGCCAACTTTTTATGCCTTATTCTACTTTCTTATGCAATTGGCAAAGCAAAACCGAAACGGAAGCTTCGCTTAAACGTGGTAGAGAAATTCACGTTCCCACTTCGGWACGCAACGCACGCAAATGGCCAGTGGGTAAGCGTTTAGCGGCATATTGCATTCATTCAAATGACTGGAGCGTAAGCGAAATGCGCGCGCATGCGTAAGTGAGAGTTTTTTCGTGGCTGTGATTGATGGCGGTTAGCTGCTTTGCCGAGACCTTTTCGATTATAAACCAAAACAAAAATTAAAAATAAAAGCAGAAAAACAAGGAAATATGACGAGTAAAGTGCAAAGCAACATTTGGTGACTTTAAACAGCAAATGTGCGGACGTGCTACGCTATATGCCTACCGTAAAAACAAAAAAAAAAAAAAACAGCAGAGTCTCCAAAGCTGTTGAATTGCTGGGCAGGAACGACGTGTCTAAATTGTTATTGCATTTTTTTTTTTAAATTTTTTTCGAAGTTTATTTGAGATTACAGATCAGTTTTCAGCATTACACATGTTAAACACGTTGCMAATTGTTGTTAGTGCCTTTGGGGAATGGCGTGGCGTTTGCGGATTGCCTGCAAATATTAATTGCAACTTAATACATATAACTTGTGTTGTTGTTGTAGGCCTCTATGCTTTTAACTTAATTGAAACGTGACAGATCTGTTATCGCCAACAAGCTTTCACTTTAATTGGGCTTTTTAAATAAAATTTTAACAAGCCCTGATGCTCTCATGGCGATTAAGTGTAGATTTGCGTAAGTTCTTTGAGGCGGCTCATTGGCTTTGCCTTAAATGTCGGCCGGTCGGCATACCTTTCAAATTGAAATGAAAGTATAAGTAAACAAAGTACCTTTCACAGGTGTATTTTTATAGCATAAATGGGTATAAAAAGTTTTTAATCTTGACTGATCTCTAAGATTGAATAATATGTTCGGGGAATGTAGTTAAACACGCTGGCTAGCTCATGTTGTCCGAATGAACGAAAACACTCCAGCTCTGAATGTATTCGACAAAGAGGAAGACCTCCACTCTGTTGGAAGGACCAGGTGGAGAAGGACTTYGCTTCGCTTGGAATATCCAATTGGCGCCACGTAGCGAATAGAAGAAACGACTGACGCGCCGTTGTTAACTTGGCTATAATGGCGGTGTCTACACMAATAGAGAAGAAGAAGAATGYAGCTTTCTCTTAAATTTAATTTTATGAAGATATCTCGTCTATTTGAACATTTTCCATCAAAAATTTAGTGACTAGTTCGGGTATACCAGACCGAGAGATAGCCGAACATGGACAGAAGAAATTTTAAAATAAGGTACTACACTTAAGAAAATAGTGGTTAATATGGTTMYTAGATCTCAAAGTGGAAARCACCACTAACTGAATACTAAATTTGTGGATTTTAGTTGAGTAACTAAAAAAAATCCTAAAGGGCGACTTCATCTCTTGGACGTAGGAACTGAACTCCATCTGGTATCGCAAGGGCTAAAACTAGTCTAAGCGTGGCTTATTGCCCACCAGTTAAACCTAACCTAGCCGAATTAAAAGCAATTTTTTTTTAAATGGTGGCCTCTGCCCACGAACGCTTAGGATCATAACCCTTAATCAGAAGAACTCTCCTTCTGTGCTTCAGCAAAACGAATTTTTGGCTTGTAGGTATTTTGATAGGTCGACATTTTAAACTTCGGTGCTTGCTTTTGGGTGTTACAACTTGGAAAACTTAATACACGTTGTTCGGGATATAAAAAGAAAGTTTCGTGATTTGATAAGTTGATGTGAAAACGATATAGCATTGCTCAGTTTCTGACCACAGGAATTGCGAAGAAAGTTGACAAATTGATGAGAGAATTATGTAAATACGATCCTGTCAGACCGCTTATATTATATATTGCTCCCTTTTCTACGTGTGCTCTGATCTAGCCCACATCAAACATAAGAGATCCTAGTTGTCAAACTTCAAGGCTTGCTTTACTGACAAAACATTAAACTTTAGCGATAGACAACAAGATGGCGGATGCTAACCACGGGCAATGAGCAAAATCTAGACGATTTATCAAAATCTAGACGATTTATCCAGCCAAAGTTTGATCATGTAATCAGATGAATATTTTGCGAACGAAGAATTAAAGTACATATACTATAGTAGTGGCTTTTGTGGAGATTTTCTGTGTTCTGAACATATCTACTGCAATTTAAATGTTAGACTCGTCTATCTAAACGGAAGTGAGCAGATACGGAAGTGAGTGGATAYGGAGATTTGTTTACATAACTACAGTTCTGAAAACTAACTGGTAATTTCTTATAGTTCTTCTTATGCTGTTTACAATGTTCTTCTTCGTAATCGTGGCAAGTTAGGCAAATCACTATGAAAGTTAGTCTTCAAAACCATTGGAACGAATCACTGCCTTTACAAACCAATAGACAAGAATGGAATCGAAGAATTCTACCGTTACAACAACAACAACAACAACAACAATGGAATCGAACATAAACAAACATAAAAAGAAATTATTAAAAATACAAGCAAAATTAAAAGTATGAAATCCATTTTTAAAAATCTCTAAAAACACCTTCTCAAGCATTTTGAGTTATTTAATTAATTGAGCGACACACAAAGAATAGAAACAGCACTGAAAGAAACCAATCGTCACTTTTGCACACTATTTTTAGAGATCAARCGCTTACTGTAGCAGAAATCTATTYAATTTAAATAGACACAGTATTATCAACACGCCTCAAGATAAAACTATTTATGACTAAATTCGAGAACTGATAATAGTGATTGTTACTGTAACATTACTAAAATATAATAGCAGCGCTGTCACTTCGAACACAACTGTGTACACACAAATGCCTGCWTGTAAAGAGAATTTGGCGTCTTTTGACACAATTGTACTTTCTGTTTTTCCACACTTTTTCTTTGTTTTGCTTGCTTACTTGACGTTTACATAATCACCGACACATAAATTGTAGATTTTCGTGCATTTAATTTGTTATAATTTATGAGTTTCGAGTTAAAAATCAATAAAAGTAATAAWTCAGCAGCGCTTTCTTGTGTTTCGTAAACAGTTTCCGTAGGTAGGCACGTGAACTCACAGTCTTTCGCGTTACACACAACCGCTCACTTCCGTTGCTTGTACTCTACTAACAGCAGTACCTGCCTCTTTTGTTTTGAGTATAAACAATATTTACTTACATATGTTTGCACATAGGTATGCATAGTTTTGTGGGTAAAATTATTTTGCGTGGTGAGTAGTATTGAGAATATTTATTACGGCTACCTCTTTYGCATTTCAAAATATGCTCAATTTTAAGATACCAATGATATGCTCTTTTATTATCCAACTCTCAGCGTATTACTAATATACTCACTTATAGCCAATTTACACAGAACTTTTGCTACGCTTTACATCAGAAATTTGTTTTGACAGACAAGTTTGAAATACGCTTTTTATGAGTATTTTTGAATTTTTGACCCGAAAGCAAGCAAAATATTGGGCAAATATCAACATTTTACGCTTCGCCAAGCAACAGTCGCCATTTTAATAGAGAAATGCAATGAAAGCAAAGCGTCCATTTGTTTTCAGCGCTGCGTTGYTTCAATTGTACAAATTGATATAAAAAGTATTACTAAAATAATTCGTTTGCAATTCATTTATTTTATACGAATTTTAACATTTAAGTGAKAATTTGTCGGTTTATTTAAGGATGCCGCGTCGATTTCAACGCTTTTATTTAGGTATGCCAGTCACTTATTTTGGTGTTAAACACTGAAAGAAATTTTAAACGAAGATATAATGTTCCCCGTATCTTAGAAAATTTTGATAAAGATAAGAAAATAATCAATCGTTATAATTCCTATAATATAGGTGAACAGTAGATTACATGTCGGTATTAAAGATAAGACGCCTTTGTTCACGCATATGTTGTTCTGTAAATATTCTGAGAATTGCAATGAACCACAGAGTGAACGCAATAATTATTTCATAGCTTCAAACACAAATGAATCATTTTGGTATGTKTAAGTGGTCGGTTTTGTACCCGATCAAGAACTTTCAACTCGACCTCGTTCCTTAGAACAATATTTAGGGAATGTTTTCAGCTGCTATCACAACCACAAACTTAACCTTAATTTCAAGTTTCTTATCGCAAATAATATTGCTAGTGTAGTAATTTGGAAGGTTAGCTGATGGGAATTTGTAGTTACTAATACTTCATTTAGCATTTTTCCAGAGGCCACATAAGCGAAATAATATTATGGTATATATACTTTACCACTCAGTTTTTTGCAATCCATTTCTTGAATTTATTTCAACTTCGCTTTTAAATATTTATGATACTTGCTTACTTTGAAATAGACTCATGAGTTCATCAACTTATTTGCTATATTACATTCGGAAATCTCTATAATATTACCACAACACGACCAATGACGACTACCTGGGTGACCGGCATGACCATGCCCACAGCCATTGTAACCAGGCATGCGCCCTTCACAGGAACATTTCACCAACTTATTACCCTTACTGGAACAGAAGGTACAGCAATGATAGATGCCACTGTGCGGGCGTGCATTGCGTGCGAGGAATGTGAAGGGACTGCCCTGAAAACGAAAGAGTTGATTTTAGASGAACTACTTAAGTAAGTTTGAAAGACTCCAAGTCTGATTTTGAAAATCACATASAAAATAATTACCTTGATGGGCTTATCATTAATAATTATTTGCAGCACTAGGGTCCCTTCAGCGTCGGGTGTAAAGCCGATGCCATAAGTGCCGTCGCGATTATCGGCGATCTGTGTAAGACAAGGAATAAAACAATTTATATGCTTCTCGCACATTCACTTTATTTTCTCTTACCTCCACTGGTAAAAATTTTGAACTCGTTTCTTTGTACTTAAGTAAAGTCTGTATTTGTAAGCCACCATGGCATAGGCCCGCACCATCAGTGTCACGTGACTGCAGCAGAAGTTCTACACGTTTATGTAGACGTAATTGGGTAAAGCCTGAAAGTCGTAACAGGGTTATGAAGTACAAGTTGTGGAAATCTCGTTTGCTCACCCTCCCATTGCAGCGTGCACAATGAAGGCTCAACAGTTTGCATTGTAATAATGCCAAAGAGTGGTATGTCGTTTTGGGCTTTCATCGGAGGTGCGCGGATATGTGGTAGGAATTGTAGAGTATCCGCAAACTGTAATAGGAAGAGAGAAGGTCAGAAAATCTTACTTGTATACTAAAGCAAAATCATGATATCGAGATCATATTTGGTACCGCGGACTAACACAGCAAATAAGGGAAGGTAGACTACGGTTGACAATATCCTGATGAGGGACAAGTCTTCATATATTGCTAGAATATCGGTAAGAAAGTCCAAGACTCTGTGCTTTAACGTTTGTCTTACAAAAAGAGCGTCTATCCTTCAGATAACACATAACTAGAGACGATTTATGTCGGGAAAGRAKGMYTTKRRRAA